CCTGGAATCAACCGAAATGTCCTAAAATAGATGATTGGTTTGAAAAAATGTGGCACATATACTCTATGGAATACTACTACTCAGACATGAAAAAATGACTCTGACATTTAATATAAAGTAGACAAATATGGAAGACTTAGTGCTAAGTGAAGCAAGTCAGACTATGAAAGATATATGGTGTATGTGCCCACTCAGTATATACTGACTGTGTGTGCTATATAGCAGAAATGGAAAGTTTGGAAGGTATAGTAATAGGATGTCAACTGTAGATATTAGAGATAGTAAGGATAGAGGTAATATGAGGGTAGGTAACAGAGGGAGGGAAAAGAACAGGGGAAGTTAACAAAAAGTACATTTAATTGACAAAAAAATGAAAAGCTATTTCTGAATATAATATACATAGTAACGTCTTTGCCTTGACTGATATGCATGGATTTGTGCTGAAAAAAAAGCAATGTTGTACACTGTAAAGATATATATGTTTAAATGTAGATTTTTTTTAAATAAGGTGCCTATCTATCTCCCACTTCTCACTCTCGCTGAAGAACTAAACAAATAAACATTAAAAATTCTCACAAACATGAGCCCAATAAAGATTAGTTTGTAATTAAAAAAAAAAAACTTGAGAAAAAATCAAGTATCATGAGTAAGAACAATTAGGAAGAAAACACAAAAAAAATCATAAAATAGAATCATCAGCAAGAAACATACACGTACACAAAATATAAAATGAGGAAACTGAAAACATGAATAAGAACAAAAAGATATCAAGAGCAAGCAGATTAGCAAAAAAAGAAAATAATTTTTAGTACCATACAATGAATGAAATTAAAACTCAATATGTGGATTAAAGAGAAGATTAGGCTCTAGGGAAGACAGAATTAATGTGGTAGAAAGAAGATCTGACTAAATCTCCTGAAATACATAGAAATGTGGTGAAAAACTAACACATACCTAATACCTAACTAGAATCCTAGTTTAATAAAGACAATGGAGGAAAAGATATATTTTAAGAGATCATGCCTAAAAACTTTTGTAGGTCATAAGCAACACCAATCCATAGACTCAGTAAGTCAAATAAATTCCAAATAGTATAAATAAAAGGAAATTCACTTCCAGATACACATAATGGCTATATAGACAGGGACTATCTACATTTGATTCCTGCTCCCAACAGTTACTAGCTAGACAATCTGGGACAGATTACTTAACTTCTCTTTGTCATAGTTTCTTATCTGCAAAAAATGCTTTTAAAGGTAGTACCTACCTCATAGATTGCTATGAAGATTAAATGAGTTGATGACCAAAACGCTTGGTGCTATTGAGTTTCTAATAGTCATTTTTATTACCTTTCTCTTAAATGTTTACCAAGTTGTTCTAAATCAGAAACTTCTCTCTCATTAATTACCTCATAATAAATACTAAGTAAATTGACTAGCCTGTGCTGCTTTTAATGAAAGCCAAGTCAAATGTCCTGGAATAGCTGAATGGTGGATTTACATAAAGGACACAGAGGCATTCCTCTACTACCCAGAAATGAGGAAAAAAATTTTTTTTTCTCTTTTGGGATGGGGAATACAAAGGGTCCAAGTCTCATCCTAACCAGTTAGAATGAAAATATATCTTTCCAAATGTCAGGTACACTTCATGTGTCACTGTGGCCTGGGATTCGTTTCTACAGAAACAGCACCCTAGTTTTTCTAGCACCTTAACAGCTTAACTTAGAGCTGTAACCATTTAGCCTTCTTGAGGAGATAAAAGGAGCTTTATTTAACCTTTTGAACCAAAGCAATTAACTACATAAATGACTATAGAGCTAATCCTTCTGGTAAAAGAATTTTTAGAAGGCAGGAGCTTTTTAACAGGAGCACTGAAAAACATAAGAAAGTTTTATTTCCCAAGGCTGGCATATACTAAATATAAATTGTTTGTTAGGGGGACCAGCAGTTAGTGTAATGGCTATGTCGCTGGACTCCCATGTAGTCAACCGCAGTTTGAGTCCCAGACCTGGTGGCTTAAACTCACACCAGGCACATGTGCGTGCGTGCCCAAGATCCCAAGAGAATAATGGAGGCGAAGGGATTGCGGCATGGCCATCCTCCCTGGGGGTGATTTCTTGCTTTCTGTCTCTGTATCTCTCTCTTTCTAGTGAGCACACTTGCCCTATAGCCAAAACCTCTCAAAAAAAAAAAAGTTTGTTATGTAAGTATAAATAAAACTTAAAATAAATTAATGAAATAAACAACAGACAGTAATGAAACACAAGAAGATATACATGAAAAGATCAAGAAAAGCAAAACTTGGTCCTTTGAAAATTAATAAAATTGACCAACCTCTAGTGAAACTACTCAAGAAAATTGATACAGCACAAACAAGCAAATACGAAGGTTGAAAAGAGGGACTACTACAGGGAACACAGGTTGTAAACAATACCTAGAATGACTTTATTAGTGCTAGCACATTGGAAAACCATTTGGCATTTTTTGGTATAATTGAAGACATGTGTGCCCCAGTGACCTAGCAACTTTGCTCCTAAGAATGTTACCTCCAGAAAACCTAGCACAGGTACACCATAGAATCATTGTTCATAATAGCAAGAAAATAGAATACTGAATATTCATGTATAAGACAATAAATACTAAATTATAGTGACCTCATATGATAAAATATGGAACAAGAGTACTAAATGAATATATTACAGCTACATACCACCAACTATAATGAATCTCACAAACATTACTGGTGGGCAAAATAGCAAATGGCAAAAAAATATATTTACGGTATAGTACAATTTATGTAAAATCTGTAGAGAGATTTTTGCTATAGGGTGCGTGCACTCACCAGAAAGAGAGAGAGAGCCAGAGAGGCAGAAAGCGAGAAATCATCCCCCATGAGGGATGGCCACGCTGCAATCCCTTCTCCTCCATTCTCCTCTCAGGATCTTGGGCTTGCACACACATGCACCTGGCATGAGTTTAAGCCACCAGGTCTGGGACTCAAACGTTGGTCGACTACATGAGAGTCCAGCAACATGGCCATTATGCCAACTGCTGGTCCCCAGTTTATGTAAATTTAAAAGAACTAAAATGAAGCAAAATGACATTTGAACATGGTAAAATTATATTTCTCAATTTGATGGTGAAGACACTCATGTTCATTTATGAATGTGAACTATAATTTACACATGCATTACACTTATTATTTTATGTGCAAAATAACTCAAAATGGCGTTCTGTATGGAAAATACAAAGGAAAGAAAGGACAAAAAGGAGGAGGAGGTAAGGAAGGGGAAACCTCTATAAAATTTTCATCAAAAATATTGGTGTCAGGATAAAAATGGAACAGCAAAACCACACAAAACTACTATAAAGCAATGAATTTGGCAATTTTAAGTAAGTTTTCTGGAACAACATACTACTTCTTATGTTTAAGAAGTATTTTCTTGGCAAGAAGTAAGAAAAGGTATTAGTTTTGGAGTCAGCCTAAAACATAACTAATCTTAAAAATTCTTAAAAGGTGCTTTAATGACGAGATGTAATATATACAGTGGGCATTATTTATGAGTGATTTTCTTAGAGACCTCATCACTTGGATTTAGAGGTGAGAAAACATCTTTATCTGGAATATTTGCTATATCAGGCTAATACTCATGATTCATATGAATTTCCTCATTTCTCTAAATTCTTCTTTTATAAGCTGGTAAGGGGCATTGGCATGACCAATGTAAGGAATAGCAAGGGATGATATGTGTTCTCTTATTAATCTCAAGGCCTGGCTCCAGCAGCTTGCAACCCTTTTTAAAGGTGTATTTAAGACTAATTTGTCTTTAGATTTGATTAATTGTTGCTGATATGGAGGCACTTGGAATGTTCTCAACATATTTTTGATTTTACACTGATAGCAATTATTAAAGACAATTTAAAGTGTGATTTGTGGTCAGCACTACAATAAATAAAAAAAGAAAATGTATACACACATATACACACAACATACAGTGTGAGTTGAAAACAGGATTTCAAAATATAAAAGAACCCTTGATAAAATACTGTCACACAAGATGTCTCTTTTAGGTTTTAAATACAGAGTAAGAAATTTCTTGTACCGACATTACTCCCTCACACCACGTTTTTCCTCTCCCTAGCGTTAATGTTCCATGTAATGCTAATTAAATACTCATGAGTAACTAATTTAAGTGTTATGGAATTCAAAGTAGTTTCCATCCCCCTTTTTCCCCAAAATAGAATAAAATTCTAGAATAAAGTGCTAGTCTCTAAACTTTATAGTGGACTGGGAATAAACTTTAAAACATATTTCACAGAAAAACCTACATTGACTTCTCGGGTTATGAATACTTGATTATGGTGAAGAAAGTTCAGAAATTGCTTCATTTTAATTCCTTCAAAATAGCAGTTATTCATTATACTGAGTCTTATGGCCAGGAAAGAGAACAGAAAAGGCATAATTTTGAGCCATCTAGCTTAACACATAAATAGAACAAATATTCTCACTTTGTTCTAGGGCAGAATCGACCCTACTGAATATTTCACTAAGAATCGTGTCCAAATGGTGATCAAAGAAGTATTCTGGCATAAAGAAACATGAACCACAAAAAGCGTCGAAAGAAAGTTTCCATTTATACACATTATTAGGATACATATCATTAAAGATGCTTTCTTTATGAGGATGACTGCAATCTCAAAACTTATCTCTTACGTGTCAACTCACTACTGTAACATCACTCTCTTAAAAGGGGAGGAAAAGGCAGAGTTACAATTCCATACTCTTTGAACACTTATACAGAAATGGCAGTAGTCCTGGAAATATGCTTTCTCTATCAAAGCCATCTTCAGGACAACTCTCAGCATTTTTACTTAAAGAGAATTGCCGGGAGGGACCCATACCTAGTAAAATTTAACAGACCAGTGAAGACAAAATGTGACAGTCTGTATTAAAGGGAGTCCTCGTCCCAGATAGCTTAGAAAGAAAACAGAGGAGCTTACCTTTATGATGGTTTGCACTGGACACGACCTTTCCCCACAAGGTTACAATAAAAATTATGATTAGCAGTTTTCCTTTTGTTGCTTTCTGTAAGTATCTCTTACTCATCCTGCAAATAAAAATAATAATAAAAATCCTAAGTTTGTGAAATCATTGCTTTTCCATTACAATTGTGCTACATTTAAAGCCTTCCATGACACCTTAACACATTTAACTCAAGAAAATTGCATTTCTTATATTGAAAATGCTGTTCACTGTACATAAACCACAAACAGAAAATTATTTTCCAAACAAAATAACTTGGTATGATGCAAAAGATAAGCTTAGTCCCGCCTCAGTCGGTCTGTATCCCTTTAGCAATAGTCTAAATCAATTAGGAAATAAGACCATTTCTCTCTCCAAATGAGAGAGCTTAACTTATTAACAAAATCCAAGGCATGGTCATTTGAATAATTTTTAAATAAGCGACTTATCATTTCACATTGTTTCTAAAGATTCCTTCTTCAATGCCAAGTCAAATATTCAGGGGAAACGGTTTAGATAAAAAAATTAAAAATGTATTCCTGCACAGAATAAAGCCACTTCAACTTTATTACTTCTAATGTGCTTTTTGAAAAAGTCACCTGCTAACATAAGTTCTTTATTGCAAGCTAACCTGACCTATCTAATACACACAACTCAGTACTGGAGGCACCAAATTGTCGGAATCTACCTTGCCTTACTTAATCAGAATTATGGAAGAAAAAATTAAAAACCCAATTGCAGAGTACCAAGTTAGCATTTTTTAATTGAGTTCATAAGTTTAGGGAAGCAAAAAATGATATCATCAAACAATAGCCACAGATAATAAAAGGTCGGCACCTGCTTTCTTCAGCACCTTATACTACCCTATTGCATTTGTTCTTCAGAGCAAATTTGGGTTATAGATATACCCATCCCCATTTCATAGACAAAGAAATTTGGAGATCTGCCTGAGGTTACATCTAATGATAGAGTAAACATTCAAACCCAGAATTGTCTAATTCTAAAATCCTTACATTAATCACTGCATTGCTAAAGGGTATGTAAAACTGAAATGAAACAGAATCCATCTGTATTTATTTATGAGGAAGATCAAATGCATGTCTGTCTCCTGGTATCTTTCAGATTCAGCTCCCTATATTGAAGTTCATTTTTGTTTGACCTACAGATTCTTGCCTGCCCTGGCTTTAATGAAACTTCTTCGGGTCACTTCCTAGCCTCGCCTGACATCCCCTCCTTATGGATTCTCTGAGCGATCCTTTCCTACACACCTACACTTTCAAAACATTCCAGTTCCAAAAAAGATGACAATGGGACAAGAAGTGATGGCTGTATAGTTGTGAAGAAAAGCCTTCTACATGGATAAATCCATGAAAAAATAGGTAATATGTATCTTATCTGGATACATATTAATATTTCATACCTTGGGAAATGAAAACATAACATAACATGAGTCACATTGTCTGGGTTTGAATCCGGGCCCCAACAACTCCTAACTATGTGACCTCTGCACAACTTTATTTTTATTGACTCTTCCGCTTCAGTTTCTCATGCAAGTTTCTGGACCTTCTCCTTCAGGCTCTTCTACTGTAAGACGGAATAATGCATGAAAAACATCTGGCCCACTGACTGGCTTGTAATAAGGGCTCAATGTTTATAATATAAGAGAATGTTAAGTCCTTGAGTACTTTGGAAGCTAGTCTCTTTCATAAGATGGTGGAAGGACTTGGAAACACTATGAACCTTAGTCTTATGCCATTTCAACGCTAATGTAAAGAGAAGAAGAGCTTGAATTTATTGGACAATTTGGGCTTAAAAACAGGCTTCCTGTTTACTGGCTACGCCTTTGAACAAATTATGTAATAACTCAGAGCATTTCCATTGTTAGTGAGATGAGGATAAGAATAATATCTACCTTATAATATCATTGGCATGAAGACTAAATGAAAAAATTCATGTAGCGTTTAACATTATCCACAGCAGATAATAAATGCTCAATAAATGCGAACCATTACTATCATTGTTCAGACGTTTTTGTGAGGCACCAGTCCCGTACAAAGTCAACACAGTATTAGAGACACATAGCAGAGTAAATTTATGAAAAAAACATAGAATTAAAGACAAGTTTATTTTGGTGCAAAATAAATTTAAAATCCATGCACAGTTTATTTTCCATAATACACATTCTCCATGAGCATTTTGAAGTCCATGGAAATTTTATATATGTAATACAAAGTTTTCACCTCTTGCTTTTAATATTCTGAGTTCAACAAATTTAAACAGATCATTTTAACAAGAGATATATTGGTAAATAAGTCTTTTCAGAAGCATTTTGAAGAAACCTTTACAGAGTAATATAATACTGACATCCTTAGGAAGCCTCTTAGAGAAATATTGATCTATAACTATAATCTGGTTTACTACTCTCTCTCTCAGTAAACCAAATGTCCATTTTAAATTCTCCCATCTCTGTTTCCTCTCAACACCTTTACTGTTTTGTTTTTTTTTTGAGAGGTTTTCGCTATAGGGCGCGTGCGCTCGCCAGACAGAGAGAGAGACATAGAGACAGAAAGCGAGAAATCACCCCCCAGGGGGGATGGTCACGCCGCAATCCCTTCTTCTCCATTCTCCTCTTGGGATCTTGGGCACACACGCACACGTGCCCGGCGTGAGTTTTAAGCCACCGGGTCCGGGACGCGAACCGCGGTCAACTACGTGGGAGTCCAGCGACATAGCCATTACGCTAACTGCTGGTTCCCCCTTCACTGTTAGTTTTAAGAGTCCCTCGTTTTTTCACATTTTTTTCAACCATCCTCCCTCTTCGTCTGCAACCAATCCCTGCAACTTTATTGTACTGCATATACTATAACAGAATGAACAGCAAAACTCATCTGACAGGAAGAGCTGATTAGCATAATTCTTGATAATAGCTTTCCCATAGCTAATGGCCTCTGCTACAAGGTCAATGACCCATCATTTCTTCCATACCACTGTGCACCCACCAAATGGGATGACAGAACTGACAGCTGGTCAAATTGATAACTAGACATATGGAAACAGAAACACCCACAAAGTCACTGGGCTGGAAAAAAAAAAAAAAAGAAAAGGAAAGAAAAGGAAAGAGAATATGGGTCAACATTTGGAAAGCTGTAATGACTGCTCTTTTCTCCCTCTCACATCACCCCAGCCCCAGTCCAGCTAATGATCATGTTTTGTCAACAATACCTCTTGAATATCTCTTAAATATATACGCATTCGGACCACCAAAATTTCTCACTAGCCACTGGACTTCCTGGGACCTATAGTACCCTTTTCTGGACCTGAAGATAGAGACTATATCTGCTTTTCTTGTTATTATATTTGCAGTATTTATTGTGTACTTGCCAACAGGAGGAGAAAGCAAGTATGTGTCATATCTTTAGGATAAAATTAGGAGAGGACGACTAGGAGAAGAGAGAGAAAGGAGAGAAGGTTGGGACAAAACAGAGCAAACTAAAAAAGAGAGAGAGAGAGATATCAAGAGAAGAAAGAAATCCATCTTGGACATGTCTTTTTCTGAATTCCAAATAGCAATCAAGTTTGAACCAAGTAAAATGGACAGGAATGATCAAAGAGTTTTGTTTGTTTGTTTGTGTTTGTTTTTTGGTTTTGTTTTTTTTTAACCAAAGGAAAAAATATATATTTATAATAGCTGAATGGTACATTTCTTCTTGATCTTGCATGAGTGTACAGGAAGGGGGAATTCTCTTCTTAATTCTATTTGCTAATCATAAAGTCTCAGTTTTAAAATTTTCTACCACAGTTTGCAATAGTCATATTCACTTGTAAAAACAGTAAAATTTGAGAAAACAAAAACTAAGAGAAAGGGAACTAGAAACTGAAGGATAAATACACACAGAAGATGAAACCTTGAAATTGCTCCCCAAGCAGCAGCAGCATCTTTCAAGGACTGCAAGGGAAACAGGATAATTGAGAAATGGCAACCTTGGCAGTGAAGGATGGTAAAGCAGAGTTGTCAAGTGCAGGGCTGGCAATTAAATCTCCCAGACTTTCTCCCAGCATTCTCTCCTGGGTTGCATGTTTCACTTAAACTCACTGAGACTTAGACTTTCGGATTATTTGAAACCCTTCCTCCCTCACTCCTGTTAAAAGTACATTTAGTTACTTAACATATACTGACTGTCCACACTCTATGGTAGAGACCGAAAGATTGGAGGGCATAAAAGCATTGAAAATAATTATGGACACTGGAAACAGTGTGGAAGGAGGGTGGGAGAAGAGTAGCGTGTAGGAAAGGAAATTAGGGGAAAAAATAGAGAGGTAAGCCATTTATGGGACACAGAAATGGCTTATTACCTGTTGATGATAGATATATAGTATTCTCAACGGGACTGGTCTGAGGTGTATTTCCTGTTGCATAAATTCTCTTTAAAGCTAAATGATGTATAGCTATTGAATGTATAATAATATTAAGAAGAAGAATACCTAATAAAGTGATTTTAAAAGAAAAAAAGTACATTTAGTTGAAAACAAGCCTGGATTTAAAAACCATTAGACATAAGCATGATCATTACCCCATAAAAGCAGAAAGTAAATTTTACTGGTTTACAACAGAGATGAGGAAGGACGAAAGGAGGGAAGCCTGGTATATAAAGGAGACAAAAGTGACGCCTCAATTCAACCACCAGGCTTCTCTCCTTGATCTTAAGACACTTTTGTGGAAATAAAGTTTATAAAAGGCAATGTATTTGAAAAAGTGTTTTAAAGTTTTTTTTTTCCTCTATTGATGTAATATTCACACAAACTTGGTGTTAACTAATTATAGTGGCAGGGACTTTATGGACTTTACAGACAAATCTAGTACAAAAATCAACCCCAGGGTCGAATGCTCCAATTAATAAGACAAAGGGATGAGAATGACCTTATACAAGGTAAATAAATCACCTACTCATTAAAATGAAAATAAAATCTTAATTTCTTACATGATCCAACATCATCTCCCCTCTCAACTTCTCTGACCTCAATTCACATCCCTATTCCCCTCCCTCTCTTTGCTCCAGCCACACTGGCCCCTCTGTCCCTTGTGCC